AAAGAATTTTCAAAATGTTTGAATATGTACACATCTTCTATATGATTGTATCCAAACAAGTCTTCCTAACAGGTTTTCCTCTCTCTCTCTCTCTCTCTCTCTCTCTCTCTCTCTCTCTTTCTTAATTGAATCAATTAATAAAATCAGATCGAAAAAATCAAAAAAAAAAATCAAATGTTTCTCTCTCTCTTAATGATTGTGAATAGCATACTTTGAACTTACTGTATTTTTTTAAATAATAATAATCCTCTCGTTCCCAGTTTATCCATTATGTTTGTTTTTTTTTTGAATTTTCGAGGTTCCAGGAACACTACACACACACACACACACGGCAAACAGCATCATGCAATCTTATATTTTGTTGAGGGGAAAAAAAGAAGAAGGGGAATGAAAAAATCGTTTTCTCTTTCCATTTTGGAGAAATGGTCTTGGAAATGATTTTTGGCCTGTATTGATTTTTGATTGATTTTTTGAAGGTGAATACTTTCTCTCTCTCTATCTATCTACATTTCAACGATTGATTGATTCAATTCAATCATCATCATCCACATTATTTCCTATGAGAAGTTTGTATTGGCCGTTTTTTTTGTTTTGGTTTGTTTTCTGAATCAAATCAACAACAACAACAACAACATCAAGTAACCATGTTGATGCAAATATCATCAACAACAACAATGATGATGATGATGGTGATGATAACAATCATGATGATCGTTGATGCGGTTCCCATTGTCAACAACAACACTGATGCCTTCGAATCACAATGTTCAAAAGTAAATATTAATCATCCATGTCGTTGTGAAACATTGACTACGACAACGACAACTACGAATGTAAACAAAATTCAATGCGATGGTGAATATGAATTCAATTTAAATGGACAATTTAAACATCGTTTAAGTGGAAATAGCCAAGATGATTTGATTATTTTCGATGAATTTATCCTGAACAATACTGAAATTTCACGTTTGGATGATAATTTATTTGGCCAAAGAATACGTTTTAAACGTATAAAATTGGTGGATTGTTTAAGCTTAAGACATATTTCATCAAATACATTTCAACAAAGTGGTCCATTTATACAGGAATTTATTGTTCAAGGTGAAAGTTCTCTGGGTGAAGATCAATATGCAAGCGATCTATTTGATTCAATGAATTCAATGATAAATGTTGAAAAAATTTGGTTAAATCGTAATCGTTTACGTTCAATACCAACGGTTGCATTTGGTAAACAAACCGGTAATGGTCAAGGTGATCGTTTCGCCCGATTAAAAGAATTAAATTTCAATAAATTTAGCTCGAAAAATGGTCATATAAAAAGTGTTGGAAATTTTGCATTTTATTACCTAAATCAATTACAATACCTGTATTTGTCACATCAAAGGATTAATTATTTACCCGCGAATTCATTTGATTTTGAAAAATCATCAAATCAAACACTTTATATTTACCTTGGTAATAATAAACTAAATAATACAAGTTTTGAACGTGGAATTTTTTTAAATTCAAAACGTCCAATACATTTAGAATTATATTGGAATCCAGATTTAACTTATTTGGATGAACAAATTTTTCGTCCATTTTTAGAACAAAATCCATTAAATCGTATTAGCTTACAAGATAATCCATTGCAATGTGATTGTCAATCATATTGGTTATATAAAGATCGACAAAAATTTTCAAATCAATTACAAAATATTATGTGTAAAATTGGACCCCGGCAAACATTCAATATTGATCTAATTTCATTTGATAAATGCCATCAAAATAATCAAAATAATAATGGACGTAAACGTAATAAATTGATTGTGGTCAACTGAAAAAAAAATGATTTGAAAAAAAATTAAGAAATTAAAAAATCAAAATCAAATCAAAAATCAAACTTGATCGTTATTCTGTCGTTATTCGATGTTGTTGTTAATATTTTTTGTTTTAAATCAAATAAAATTCTCAATTGAAAATTGAAAACAACCAAAAAACCAATGTTTTTTCGATAATTTTGATGCTGTTTCTTCCACATTTCCCACATAGATAACACATCATTAATCATCCGTCGAACGAATCAAAAAAAAAAAAATTCATTCGAATTCGAATCATTCGAATTGAGAATGCGCAAAACGAAAGAATTTTTTTCTTTTCGACGGATGAAAATGACGCCGATCGGTAATTTTGTTTGATGGTAACCCGATATTAGTATGGGAATTTGACGCCCATTCTACATACCACAACAACCATATAACCAGAATTTTCTTTTCTTCTTTTTTTTTAAAAAAAAGTGTCATTCAAGAAGAAGAAGAAGAAAATTCTGAATTTTTCATGCGCTCAATGTTGTTGTTGTTGTTCCAAATGGAACAATTTTGGACAACGAGAAGAACGAACCAAAATGATACTTTTCTCACTCTCTCTATATATATCTATTGAATGGTTCTGTTTAGAACCGTGGTTGTTTTTTGTTTGTTTCTGACATCCATGTCCCCCCCCACTCGCTTTTTTCATATTCGATTCTTTCGAAAATATTGATTTCTGGTCTGATGAAGTGAAACAAACAAACGAAAAAAAAACCAAACAAACATTGAATTTTGTCAATGAAAATTTTCTCATGGTCAAAATTTCAACAACGAAAACAGATGTGCCAAAAAAAAGAAAACGAAAACCACACCACAACAACGACCACATCCGCATTAACGATCCACGATAATTAAACAAACAAACAACAACAACAAAGCCATATTACGCCCAAAACAAAACACTGCCAAACCATCATTATTCATCAAACGATCATTTGCTGATTGATGTGTATATCGTGTATCGTGTTGATTGAATCAGAACAAAAAAAAACAACAAACCCTTTCGATTGCAAACCAAAATCATCGAAAAAAAATGTTACATCAACGTAAACGATTGGATTGATTGATTTAAGAAGAGAAAAGAAGAAGAAGAACTGTTTTTTGGTGATGTTTGTTAAATTATCAAAAAATGTCCAACAATCAAGAAATAATGAAAACAATTATAAATGTGGTGATTGCATCAATATTCAATAATGTTGATGCATCATTATCATCTAATAATAAATTATTTTCAATGCTCATTTTTAATGGCCAATTGCCTTATTATCAACAAAAACAACAACAACAAAAACAACAACAAAAATTTTCATTGAATTTTTCAATGTTAATTATTATTAACAACATTATAAATTACATAAATGCCTCCAATTATTGTAAAAATTTGTGTACTTGGCTGTACTGGTGTTGGTAAAACAAAATTAATTAAACAATTTATTTATAATTATTATGATGATGATCAATATGAATCGACAAATTTATTGGCTGCCATCAATAAAGATAATATTTATAATTGTACAATAATGTTTAATGGTAATCTTTATCAATTAAAAATTATTGATATGCCTGCAATTAGAAAATTTCCTTCCAATATAACAAATGAATGGTTATTATATCAACAATGTCATCTTTATAATGCAAATGCATTTATATTTTGTTTTGATTTAAATCAACCATTAACATTTAATTATATTAAATGTAAGTTTCTTCTTTTTTGATTCTTGATTTTGGTTATTATTAAAACCTTTTCTTTTTCATTTGATTTTAGCATTACGTGATCAACTTTATGAATGTCGTAATATGCAAAATATACCAATATGGATTGTTGGAACAAAAGCTGATCTTTCATTAAATATTTTAGCACAAATGCGTTCACATCATCATCATCATCATCATCATCATCATTATCATCATCTTCAACATGATCATCATCAACAACATCATGCACAGCATCGTTTTACAACGCATCAATCACATCGTTCAATATTACATCCAACAATATTATCCAATCAAATTTATTCACCATATGAAGATATACAACCAGCATTAAAAGAATTTTCAAATCAAATACGTAAACAATGGAAATGTAATTATCTAGAATGTTCAGCTAAATATAATTGGCATATTGTAACTATATTTCGTGAATTATTAAAAACTATTGATCCAATTATGATGGCTGAAGTTATATCATCTGGTCAACAACAACAACATCAACCAACAACGTCCAATATTTCAAGTACAATAATGGCCAGTAGTGCTAAAGATCAATCTACTACAACAAATGTAGCAATTATTAAATTAAATAATACACCACCATCAAGAACAATATCACCAATTGGTGTTGGTGGTGGTGGTGATTTGTTGGCAGCTACCGCAACAACAACAACAACATCCTCTAGACGTCATTCACAAGCTAGCAATAGAATATGTCAAATTTCTTAACGATAAATACTCATCTTATCTATTTCTTTCATCTATTTTGAATGTGCCAATATATTGTTATGTTATTACAGATTTTCAGATATTGCTCCAAAACAAAAACAAAATCATTATTATGCTCTTTGATCCTCAATCAGTAGTTTTTTTCCCCATTTCGTTTTCATTTTCGTCGATCATCATCATCATCGATACGATAGAAATTCAATTTGCTCTAAACAATTTTTAAAAAAGAACAAGAAGAATGATTAAACACAACAAACAAACAAACAAACCAAGTCTTTCATCAAGATCACAGTGGCATTATTATTATCATTATTATATTAAATAATATTTAAATTATAATAATCTTTATATAAATATTTCTCTTTCTCTTTCTAAAAAACAAACAAACAAACAAAATTGTGAAATAATTATCTTTTTTTTTCTTCATTTTTTTCTTTCTTTCTTTCTCTTTTTTTTTCTTTTTGGATACCAAAATTTATCCCAAAAAATTGATAAATTGATGGATTTTTATTTTTAGTCAAAAAAATGAATAAATTTTTAAACAAAAAAAAAATTTACGTCGTATATGTACGGTCATGATTCCATGCCTGATTTTTTTTTGGAATTCGAAACCCAAGAATTTTTGTTTGTTTGTTTTGTTTTTGAAAAATTCTTGAAATTCAATTTTCAACATGGAATCTTTATTGTTTGAAATTCAAAATCGAAATTCTTTAGATCATGATGATCATCATGATCTAAAGAATTTATTGTATCAAAATCTTTTTGAAAAATCAGAATTAATTCAACAACAACAAGAAAAATTGGCTAAAATTTTCAATTCCATTTTTTTCGATCACCAACATTTAAACGATGATAACATTAGTGAACCACCTGAACCGAAAAAATTTAAAAAAATCAATCAAAACCAAGCATTACAATTCAAATATTCGCTAATGGATTATATATTAGAATTATGTATCGAACGGGATATAATTCTTGAAGAAAATTTTGGAAATTTTTCTTTTCAAAAATTTTTGTACGATTTATTGCTCAATAATCAATCTTTTCAACCCGAATTTATTAAAAAATTATTATCGAAAATTTTACATTCATGTCCATCCATTTGTTATAATCATAATGATTTAATGATGAAAATATTTTTACAAATACTTTCCATTAATGAATCTATCAATGATTTATTTGGTAAATATTTCGAAATAATGTCTTCGAATAATAAACTTATTGAATGGTATCAATGTTATTTTCAACTACAAAAACATCTACCAAATGATAGTTATTTATTTGATGAAAAATTTGAAAAAATTTATCGAATCAAAATGTTTGAATTACATCCAACAAATTCTTTGGCAATATGGCAATCATTTTTATCTAATCTAACTATTCAAAATCAAACTACAATGAGATTATTCTCTCTGTTCATATCACATAATCGAATGTTTGGCCAAACAAAACGATTCGAAAATCTAATCAATTCGACTGTCTTGTTGTTGGAAAAAGAATCATTCCAAACAACCAAATCAATAGCTGAATGTAAATGTTTATTTCAAATTTATTATTCATTAGCCAGTATTGTTGTAAATTTTTTTGATGATCACCAACAAAAATCCATCGAAATTCAGACCAAAATTTCAACGATTGAAAATCTTTATGATATGACCATTATATTTCCACAAACAACCGTTAAATATTGGCGTAAATGTTATGATAATTTTGATAATTTATCTGATGATAATGATGAAAAAATTTATCTAATTCGTTTATTATTGCTTAATTATCGATTGATTAAACAACATCAAGATAACTGCCAAAATGATGAATTATTCAACAATTTATTAACACAACAAATATTGATTAGTAAACAACTATTAATACCGGATATTTTTAATTTTTTATTTCAAGAATTGAAAAATAATAATCAAGATTTACAATCAATTTTGGAATTTTTATTCGACAGTTTTATCGCTACTAGCAATCAACGTCAAGCCATCATTATTGTTGTTGAAATATTCAGTCATCAACCAAATTGGGAAAATAAATGTTTTCAAAATATATTCATAACATTATGGTTGAAAAAAATTCAATATTTTTTACCACGATTATTCGCTAATAATTATTCATCATTGATGAAGGAAAAATATTGGCTTAAATATGGTTGTGATATACCGGATACAGATAAACATCAAAAATTGATTCATTCATTGCAAACATTTTCCGAGCCATTTTTTCAAATTGATCAATCAATGATATCAGCGGATGATGAAGATAATGATTCAAAAATGATCGATAAAAATAGCGAAAAACAAATTGAAAAATTATTCGAAATATTTTTACAATCTGTACCGATTGAATATATTTCACCATTTAATCAGATTCGTTTGTGTATTATTTCTTGGGCAATTCATTCGGAATTTCTTCATCATCAAAATAATTCATCCAATCAATTTTCCACCATTTTTATTCGTCTTAATCTTCGTTTATGGTATTCTGTAAGAAAAATTTGGTTTTTTGATTTCATTTCACCAAGCCATTATATTTATAAATTATTATCACATCTGCCGGATTATTTTAATAATGATTGTCCAAAATTATTTGATCGATTTATAACGATAATGTTTCAATCAAACAATATGGAACGTTTATTTGAATCACTTAAAGAATTGATAAATTTTCTTGAATGTCATGATAATAATTTAGATACTGATTCGATAAGTGGTTATGTTTTTATGATTGAAACAATTCTATTGAGAAATATTCGACAATTTCGACGAAAAATTCAACAACGGAAAAATCATTTTGAATATGAATGTCAATTATCTTTTGTTCATAAACAATTAATAGATTTAATGTATAAAATGATAAATGAATTTTTCAAACAAACAAAATTTGAAATTCAACAACGAAATGATTTAATATTTATTATCGAAGCTATTATTGAATTATTGGAAGAAAAATTATTTGAAAAGATTGATGATTCTGGATTGAATTTTAAGAAAAAATGGCAAAAATTATTCAATAAATTTCTTGATTTGTTTGATGGTGATGGTGATGGAGGAAATCTTTCAAAAGTCAACAATCATCATCAACAACAACAATGTTTGATTAATTTCATCAAATTTATTGCTCATAATCGATCAAAATTGGAACATTTATTGCCGAAAGATTTTCTTGCAAAACGATGGAAAGAAATTTTACATACAAATTCGATCGAATCAAATGATTGCATCGAATTCAAACAGCATATTGATTCAAAATCTGGTTGGAAAAAATTGTTTAAATCGGAAGAACAATTTCAAAATTTTAAAATCATTTCCGATAAAATGTTTCAGACTGATGAAAAGATGATGAAAAAATTCGATAATTGTGATCGATGTATCGATACAATCGATTTATTATTGAATCCAATTCTTGAATCAATTATCGATTCGAATGAATGGCAAAATTATCTAAATGAATGTTTGATACTTTTTCGTGAACATTATACAGATTTATCAAAGGCAAAATTCTATATTCATATTTTAATGAAAATGGTTCAAGAAACTACAATGGATTCAAAACAAAAAACACAAATTTTAAATGAAAATTTTAGTGATTTAATCGAAATAATGTTATTGATAACATTTTTGGTTAATAATAAATTAATGATCACCACTATTGATAACATGGATTATTTACAACAATTAAAATTGAAAATTTTAGAATTCAGTCATCATTCATTGGAACGATTCATTCGATTTGATATGATAACGAATCAACATTTATTTCTTATCTATAATCTATGTATCGAAATGAATATCTTTGCCTACTGTAGTAGTAATGGTTCAATTGGATTATATTGTGATTTATTCGATCGAATACAAATGATTATACAATTGATTTTATCTAAACGACCATATTTAGCTTTTGAATCAATGTGTACCGGGCGAACAATATTACGAACAAATATTGCATCATTAATACGAATAACATCTGATCGAAAACAATTTGGTAATGCAACCGATACGGATAAAATTCGATTAGAACAATGTTCCAAATCCATTCAACAATCTGTTAATCGTTTAATACAATTTTTGGAATTTCAACCATATGTTCAATCAATGATTATTGATTATTTAGAACTTTTATTACATAATACACCAATCGATTTACGAATCAAAGAAAATTTACAACAATCAATTTATCAACTAATTGATTATCTAATCAAACAAAATAATGGTAAAAAGAATTTGGAAAATCTTTATTCACGTTTGAATGAAAAATCAAAAGAATTATTTCGAAAATTATTAGATTATCATGATCATTATTATCGATTTAAAGGATATGTTTAAATTTTGTTCTGTTTTCGAAATGAAATTTTATTCAACTTGTACTTCTCATCCAATAGGATGTTAAATTGTTTTGTTTTAAAAATAAAATTTTTCGAATTCAAAAAATAAAAAATCCATTTTTTTTGTATCGAACAACAGTAGCTCAATCTATCGGTCAAATTTATAACATTAAATCTATCCTTTTCCTATGCAAACACACACACCGACCGCGAGAGATATTTATGATTTTGCAATTTTTTTCGCTCTTTTTAGCCATTAGATATTTTTTTTGGGATTTCATTTCGCTGTTTGTGTGTGTGTTTGGTGTATATATTTGTGGCAAAATTCTTTTGCTACAAGTAGCAATATTTATTATTATTTTCGAATTTTCTGAAAAAAAATTTCATTCAACCTCACTCACACGGAATAGACAGAATTATTAAGAGAAAAAAAAATGATGATTTATCATACAAAACTGAAAAATCTAATCACTGCTCATCAGGTAAGGATTCATCAAGCAAACAAACAAACTTTTTGTTTTTTTCCCCCCATTAATCAATAATAATTGATGTTTGACGTTTGATTTGATTTTATTTGATAATTGTAGTCGGTGTATGCAAAATTATTACATGATAATCCAAATGATTTACAGGTAAGATTGTTGAAAGGTTTTGTTGTTGAAAACAATTTTTTTTTTCACTCCACTTCATCCATTACATTATCGACAAACAATGTAATTTTTTTAGAAAAATCATCTTCGAAAATTATTGAGTCAAATACAAAGAAATATTCAAAAACTTATACGGGATAAAAATTATGAAATTTTACAAAATAATAATAATAAGAAAAAATTGGAAAAAGAGATTCGACAAAGAAGAAAAAAATCAACAACAACAACGACGAAAAAGAAAAAATCATCATCACCATCAAATCGTGTGATTAAAAGTCGAAATTCGATTCGATATTTTATTCGTCGTGATCGAATCGATAAAAATGATCGTTTGGATCATCGATTATTATCATCGGCTATTGTTGATTATTCGATTCTAATCAACCATGATGATGAACAAAAATTTTGTCGAATTTCGAATGAAAAAACGACGACGACCAACGACAACAATAATAAACAAGATAATGAATCCAGAATAAAAGAATCGAATAAAAATGATCAAGATTCTGATCATTCATCATCAGTTGATTTGGATCAAAATAATAATGATAATAATAATAACGATGATGCAAAACATCATCCTCCATGTAATGGTCATGGTAAAAGTATTGATGCAAAAGAAGATTTTTTACGAATGTTAGATTTGGTACATAAAATTGATTTGGAAAAAATGGCCAATTGTAAAAAACCAAGAAAACGTCGTACAACAGCTAATCCACAATTTTCACATGCAGCTATTGAAGCTAAACGTATTACCCAAATGGAAATTGCTAATGAACGTAGACATCGTCGACGTTTAGCACTTGAAACTAAACAACAACGACGACATTCAAAACAACAGATCAATAATAATAAAACATTATCATCATCATCATCATCGAAACAACCAAATGATTATATTAAATCGATAAATATTTTCAAACCAGCAAACGAAATGTTTCCAGGTAATTTATTTTTCCTAATTGATTGAAAACAAGAAAACTTAAATTTTAAAATTTTTTTACAAAAACAAAAAAAATACAGGCCTTTTTAATATAATGACCGATCCAAATATGGAACATCATGATAATCGTTGTAAATTATGTTCAGAATTATGTAATTATATTGATGATACGATTGTTTTATGTCAACAATGTTTATCAATGTTTCATGTTAATTGTTTGGAACGAAAATATTTTATCCATATGAATGGCCATGATGATTCGGATCGAATTCGTTGCTGTATTTGTCCATCATCATCATCATCATTGATTACATTCGATAACGATAAATTGTTTAACGCAGAAAATTTGATGATAAAATTGGCACAAATTCGAAAAGAAATTCTTTTATCATCGAATGCAAATTATTGTCTACAACAATTTCTCAAGGTAATTATTATCTGAATATTTTTTTGTGTCACCACTAATATATTTTTTTCATACATTACATTTCAAACATTAGAAAAAACAATGCAAAAAAGAAAAACTTTTAGCCGATCTGGATCGATTACATCGTATCAATGATCGTATTGTTAATATATCCACCAGATTAAACAGCATCGATTGTGGTGAACATCAAAAAATTGATAACAATGATGACCAAATTGATTGCATCCATCAAAATGATGATGACCAAATTGATTGCATCCATCAAAATGATGATGAGATTGATCATCATCATCAACCAAAATCGAACGTTCGAATTTCAAAATTATCAAATTATGATAGTATCGATTCAATCGATAGAATCGATATTCATTCACATCCGAAACAATCTCAAGAAGCCAACAACACCACCACCACTACCAACAATAATAATGTTCGGGTTGACCAAGAATATTCTATATTATCATTTTGTGCATGAATTTCATTTTATTTTTTGTTTTTTTCTTTGATTAATTTCTGAATTGAGAAAAAAAATTAATAAATTTTGTTCTTTTCCATTATTGATTAATTAATTGATTAATTAATTACGGTACAAACAACAACAATCGATTGATTTGAATTGAAAAATCCAGAAACAAAATGAAATCAATATTCGAATTGATCGAAAAAAAAATCGATTTGATTGATAAAAGTGAATGAAATGGGTAGTAAATATTCAAAATATGAACATTTAAAAACAATTGAATCACCATTAAATCAGGCACAAGGATTAAAAATAACACGTAGTGGTTTACAAATCAATCAAGAAGTTACGAATAAACCATTGAATAAAAAAATGGTTGAAAAATTACGAAGAAATCCAAAAACTGCACCAGATGTATTGATCATTTTGAATCCACCATTTTGTGATATTGATCGTATTACGGATAATCTTTATCTAACCGGTATGGGCGGCCTAACTGAAGAAAATATTTCAACATTAAATATAACATTGATTATAAATGCAACATATGAAATGCCATTATTACGTATGAAAGGTGTTGATTCATTTCGTGTACCAGTTGATGATGATGGTAATGATGAAATTATTTTATATTTTGATGATGTTGCCAATCTTATTGATCAAACATCAAGATTAAAAGGTCGTACAATTGTTCATTGTATGGCTGGTGCAAGTCGTTCATCAACATTAGTTATTGCATATCTAATTAAATATCATGATTATAGTTTGAAAACAGCATTCTGTTATGTTAAATCATTACGATCATGTGCACGACCGAATATCGGATTTTTTGCCCAATTAATTGCCTATGAACGTTTTTATCGTAAAGAAACATCCGTTGAAATTATTGAAATTGTTAAAAAAGGTAAAAAAGTACAGGTACCTGATTTTTATCCACAAATGTTTCCCGAATTATTTAAAGCTGAAATTAATCGTCAATTAAATAAATCACATATTAGTAATATTAAATTACAAGAAAGTAAAGAACGTAATTATATTAATCCAAGAAGAAAATATCAAGATATGCAACGTGATATACAGGCTATGATTGGTAAAAATACTACTACTAATCCACTCAAATAACAAAAAAAAAAAATCAAACAAAAAACATTTTTTACTTACCATTAAAATTCATTATAAATAAAACAGTTTTTTGACAAAAAAAAATTCAAAAAAACAAAAAAAAAACAAAATTCATTCGAAAATGCGCTCATCATTGCGCATGGTGGTGGCGCTGTTTTTCGAAAAAAAATCTTCGTTTTTATTCGATCAACCAACCGACCGACCAATGCAGCATTTATAAAAACGACCGTTACAGTTTTTCAAAATCATTTCATCTCTTTTCGCGAATTTCGTTTCATTTCGACTTAAAAAAATAAATTGACCAAATTGATCGACCGATAAAAATGGATAATAATAATGTTCAATCAAAACAACCGAAACAACAACAACAATCATCATCATTAAATATGGGACAATTATTGATGGGCAGACAAAAACAACAACAAATACCATTGAAAGCAAAAGAAACAAATAAAATTGCATCTACACCGTCCAATGTAAGTTTTTGTTTTGTTAACTTTTTCTTGATGTTCGATAAACTGATTATGTTTTTCATTTGATTTGAAAAATAAATGAATAGATAAAACGTCTACAGGTAAATAAATGGTTCAATTCACCAACCGATTCAATGTTTAGTCCTTGTAGTAAAAAATTGTATAATAAAAAAAATATTGGTCATATTGTACATTTTGATGAAGCTGATTATGATGATAATAATGCCAATAATGATGATTTGAATGAAGAAAATGATGAAAATGGACAACAACAACAACAACAAGAATCTATTGAAAAATGATTGACAAAAATAGCTGACATTGATTGATTCATTGATAAATTATATTTGATTTTGTGTGTCTGATGTTTTTACGAAAAAAAAATAATCCATGTTTTCTTGATTGAAATTAAATTCCTAAATAATTTTTAATAATTTTATCCGAATTTTTTGCTGCCAACATTTGAAATACAGCCGAACGATCAATATATTCAACGAATGATTCGAATGTTGTTGTTGTTGATTGATTCGATTGTGAATGTTGACTGTTGTTAAGATTTTCTTCAATATCGATCATTGTAATTCGTTGCCAATTCCATGATCGAATTGTTTGCCAAAATTTTTGACAATCATCACCGGGACCTTCAATACAAATCAAACCTGTTGATGAAAAAAAAGAGAGAAAACAAAAAAATCACATAAAGATCAAGGATTTGTTTGTGTTTCTTAAAGGAAACAAACATCAAACACACACTAAAATATCCTTGAATGTTGTTGAATGATGATCGACACCTACAACAACAACAGTTATATTGGAAATGGACATGATGAACATCATCATTTTGTCGCCAAAGAAAGTGTATGTGATGACGATTTTTTTTTGTTCGAATCAAAATCATCACCTAAAACAGTGATGCGTTTAGTTTTTTTGTTTACTTGTTTACTTACCTGGCTTTCCAATCAACATAAATCCATTCAAATGATATTGATGACGACATAGATCGATAATTGATTTACGTTTTATTTTCGAATAAATATGATGTGAATAAATCCAATAACGATCAATTTGATTGCTGTGGCTGTCCGATTGTTTTTCAATATTAACATTATTGGATTTTGATTTCGAATCCGACGAAAAAGAAGATTTCATTTCATTCCATAATTCAATAATTTTCGGTACAACTTGAATCAAACTATTTCGTTCGATTAATTCATTTTCTACACGTTCATTCAATTGTTTTTGTTGATTTTTATTCGAAATAATATGACAGAAAATTTGTAAACAATTCGAATCCAACGATGGATAATCAACAGACATTGTCAAACGACATTCCAATGATTCATCAACATTGAACAATACTGTTATTGATGATACATCATCAAAATGATGATAATGAAAATTTTGTTCATCGATTGCTCGCTGTAGTTGATCATCTAAACATTGTAATCGTAATTCAGGATACATTGATTTGATAAGAATTAATTCGGCAATACGTGGATCATCAGTATCTTCTTCGTCTTCTTCATTTTCTCGTTGTTGTTCCATTCTTCCATCAAAAAATCAACCAAGAAAAAAAAAACATTCGATAAAATTTCAATTTAAATCCAGAAGAGGACGCCACTTTCATCACTCAATGTTTATCATTTGACGATTCGATTCGATTGATTCAACATCATCATCAAGCATTTTATGCGATGTTTTTTTTTTTGTTTTGTTTTTTTGTAAAAAAACAAAAATAATAATAATCCTCATCATTTAAATGTGCAATACATGTGTGTATGCAATAAATCAATATATTTGATTGACTGAAAATATTTTTTGAAGAAAAAAAAGACAAGAGTGATTAAAAAAAAAATGACATCGATAATTAAATTGGATTCATCACCATCACAACATCGAAAACAATATAGTAATAATGCCAACAACAACAATAATACATACCATTCTTTAAATCGAAATTATTATGAAAAATTTGATTTAAATGTTCATCCTCCTCACCATCAACATTATGTTGATGGTGTTTCAACATGGTCAAATAATCGTCGTAATCATCATCATCGTGATCATCATCATGGCCATTCATATGATGATCATGGTGGTTATCAAAAATCATTATATTCCATTTCATCGAAACAATCTGATTCATATAAAGTTGCATCACCGGAATTATCTGGGAAAAATAATAATCATCAACAGCAACGACGACCAAAATCATCATCACCATTATCAACATCGAATCCAATAATGGAAACAACAACAACATTATCATCAACAACAACAACAACAACAGCAAATGATGTTGATCATTATTATCCAATATCACAATGTTTAAGTCATAGTGAATCAAATTTATCAAATTCCATTCAATTATCCAGCAATAATAATAATAATAATAATAATCGTTCCTGTAATAAATATGGATTTTTTATTCAAAATGATTCAGACCGAAATCAAGATCAAGATGATGATTATGAAACACCATCTATACTAGATTTAAAAATGTTAAGATTAAAAGAAAGAAAATGGTTACAAATGTTAAATAATTGGCGTTATTATATTAATTTTAAATGGGAAAAAATTCGTAATCGTTGTCGAAAAGGTATACCACATTCGCTACGTTCACAAGCATGGTTTCATCTGTGTGGTGCACATTTACAAAAAAATCGTTTCCCAAATCTTTATGAAGAATTATTAAGAAAAAATGTATCAAATGATATTTTGGATGATATCTGTAAAGATCTACATCGACAATTTCCTAATCATGAAATGTTTGCCGATCCAAATGGAACTGGACAAACTGATTTATATAATGTATTGAAAGCATTTGCTGCTTATCGACCAACAATGGGTTATTGTCAAGCACAAGCACCAATTGCAGCCGTTTTTTTGATGCATATGCCGGCTGAACGTGCATTTTGGTGTTTGGTTGCATTAAGTCGTTATTATATTGGTGGTTATTTTGAACAAAATTTAAAAGATATTCGTATACATGGTCAAATGTTTGTTACATTTTTGAAAAAATATTCACCATCATCATATCATCTATTGAAACGACAAAATATTGAACCAGAAATTTATATGACCGAATGGTTTATGTGTATTTATTCTCGGAGTTTACCATGGCCATCAGTTTTACGTGTATGGGATATGTTTCTTTGTGAAGGTAATTTGATTGTTGATTTGTTTTTTGACTTTTGATTTGTAATTCATTCTATTTCTTTTCATTTTCAAAAACAAAAAAAAGGTTTAACCATTCTATTCAAAGTTGGTCTTTATCTAGTTGATTCGACACTTAAAAATGAAACAACAAAAACATGTCCAACAATGTTTGAAACATGTCAAAAATTACGAAATATTCCAAAATCATTAGTAACGGAAAATTTATTAATAAATGGTATCAAACGATTTGAATTAAAAGATTTAGATCTACTTAAAGAACATAAACATCAGATGAAAAAATTACAAAAATTAACGAAAAAACAACAACAACAACAGCAGCCAAAGTGAACCAAAAAATTTTTTCATTCAATTTTTTTTAATCTTCAAAAGCTAAAACAAAACTCAATACCTGCATTACCTTTTATTACATAACATTTTGCTTGTGCTTACATACGCTACTTAAATACTTGTTTCGTTTTAAACTTTTTGTGCAATTTCTTTTTGTTTTGTTTTTTTCAAATCATTTTTTATTCGGATTTTTTTTCAAAAAAATAAACTTTTTTGGTTACGAAAAGATCAATCAATATCTTGTATGTGATTTAGGATATTCATTATTATTAACATCGATAACACCACTTTCCCCTCCGCCACCACCGCCACTATATTTACCATCAGTATCATCATGATCATTATGATAAATTGGTGATGTTGGAATTGATGGATAAAGAAAATATGGATGTCGTTGATGATAATGTTTATAACGTAAACAATCATCTAATGGTGATGTTTCATTCATTGAACGAAAATCATCCAAAATAAATTTTTCAATTTCATCAATAAATGATGATACTTTTGTAAATATTAATGGTAATTTTGGTGTATTACAATGATTACCCATTGATAAAATGCCTAACAAAACACAATGTTGTTGTTGATGATAATTACCACCACCGCCACCACCAATATATGATACTAATGGTGTACCAATACCACCAACACAAACATTAATTGGTGGATTAACACACAGATGGCTACTACTTAATTGATCGGGTGACCAATTAAATTTTTTTGAACATGAATCTTTCGGTATTAGATGGCCAGATAATGATCGAAGATATGGTTTTTGATAATGACCCAAACCCCAACCTGCATACAGAACTGGTGCACGGCTACCAAAATAATATCCATTTTCCCAATCATCACGTTTTGGTAATGATATTGGTATGAAATTACAAACAGGACTTGATAATTTCAGGATGGCAAAATCATTTTCCAATGTTTGACGATCAAATTGTTGTGAAACTTCAATCGTTTCGACATCATATTCATATGCTTTATCATAAACACTTGATACATTCAGGTTATGACGACCAAATCGAACGATAAATCCTGATGATGGCTGGGGTGGTGGTTGTTCTTGTTGTCGTTGACCTTCTTCGCCACCACCTTCTCCACCTGCACCACCTCCTTCACCACCGCCAGTTCCACCACCACCATTAATACCGGTAACACATTGTGCCGATGTAATAACAGTTTTTGGTGCAACCAATGCACCGGAACAAATAAATCGTCGTTCATTATTATAGATTGCAGCCAACCATGGAAATGAATTTGGTTGTGCAGGATGTACATCTAAAAAATATGGTGGTGGATAATCATGTATCAGCGATAATGTCCCAGGATCAATAATAGTTGAATCATTAAATTCAGGTGGTTCTGGTTGTATATGTGGTGGTGGTTGTACTTCCTGGTTAAACCGTGGTCCACAAAGAATTTGTCTCATTTGAAGTGTTTGTTCATCAGTTAATGGTGAACAAAATGTTAATTTTGCCAAACAATTATTATCACGATATTCTTGATATGCTTCACAAAATGCATCATCACGTAATGTTATATGACGAAGTTTATTAAATTTTGATTTATATAAATGTTCATATGCATCAGTGGCCATTATCATCATCATCATCATTATTATTGTGGTTGTTGTTGTTGATGCTAACCACCACCAATAATTCAATCGTCTACCTGATGATAATGATGAGAATGGTAACATGATTGATTGATTGATTGATTGATTGAGGGTTAAGTAGAGGTATTTTTTTTGCAATCGATTTTCATAAAAGAAAATAATTTCACAAAGCAAAGTAACAAAGTAACAAAAAAAAAAATTACCGGGCCCACAATAGAAAATAAATTGTTTTCAACAACAACAACAAAAATAGAAAATGTACATTCGATAAATGTATGGCGCCCAAAAGTCAATTCATATGTCCTTTTTATAATCTTTGATGATTACCCGAAGTGTGTGTGTCCCAAAATTTATTGACATTTTTTTTCTCTACTTTTTCTCACCAACTGGAAAAAAAGTGAAAGCAAAAGTCAATACCAAGGTCCAACATATTGATCAATGGTGATGATGATTCCAAAGCTGGTAAATGTCATTGTCAATCTCTCGCACCAAAAAAAGTATAAGAAGAAAAAAAAATGGGAACAGCCAATTCAACCTTGGATCAATTTTGAAGCCCAAATAAATTTTTTTTTTTTTGGAAAAAAACGTGTTAATTTTTCAAAATCTTTATCCAAATGAAATGAATGAGGAAATTTTTTTTCTTTTAACACTCAGTATGTCACATTATTCCCACACCACCATCATTATCATCATTTAAAAAATCGAATCATTCAATTGATTGATTGACAAAACCACCAAAATATAGTTTTTTTTTGTTTGTTTGTTGCGAAATTAACACAAATCAATTAATTAACACGTAGTTATTATTTATTATTTAATTCAAAATCCAAATCATGAAAACACTGATGATGAAAGAAAAGAAAAGTAATAATTATTATCGATTTGATTGAAAAAAAATATGATTTGGATGGAACCTTTAGTTTGAATTTTATTTTAGTTTTTTTCCTCAATGCACTGAAAATTTTTTTTCTTTTTTCCCAATCAACCTATTGATCGATCGGATTGATTTTTTTTTTTTGGGATTTCATAATAACCAACCACCACCACCACTATTCAATATCTAAACACACGAACACTGCAAGATTGGAAACAGCCAAAAAAAAAACCTTTGACCTTCTTCATCCTTGATTGAAGAAAAAAAAGCAAACACACCAAGGTGGTGTTGGTGGGTTGTTACGATGGTCATCCATGAACTTAACCCCGCGCAGAAAGATGATGTATATATAATTTTTCTGTTTGTGAACCAAATTTTCATTCTATGGAACAAGAGCAACAAACAAACAAACAAAAAAATTGAGCGATTCAATCAAACTCAAATCACACTATTTGAAGGATATTCACCAACCATAGCCATGGGTTAGTTTAGTTCATACAACAACAACATGCAGAACAAACTTGGTTTCTTGCTTGTTGCGCTTGTTGTTGTTGAACTATATATACTAGCTTGGCTACAAGACCCCATTATCATCCCCATAATAATCAGGATCATGGTTAACACACATAAGATATAGGAAAGACGTACAGACAAAACAAAACACAAAAACACACAGTGGTTCTTCAAAACTGTGTGTTTGATGATGATGATGGCCACTTGTTTTCATTTTATTCTGAAATTTCTTTGAATCCAGCCAAAAGTAAAGCAAAGCAAATTTTTGTTGTTGTGGAAACAATTTTTTTTGTGTTAATCCTTGGTTAGGTTTGTTTTTAGATTTATGAATTGTGTGTGTACTGTGCAATTGATTCGATTCAAATATTCATATTCGAATGTCAAAAACAAAACAACAACCAAAATCAAAAATCAAGGATTTCTTGGAATCTTCGGAATATTTTTTGTTTCTTGCTGAATGCTGTCAAGTAAGTAAAATTGTTGATAAAATTGTTGAGAAATTCTTATGTTTCTTTTGGGTAACTCTCTTTTTCATTTTTCGTTAATGTTAAAATTATCTGTACAGAATTATTATTCAAAATGTTTCAAATGTTCATTCAATTTTTGTTTTTTTCCAATGAAAAAGAGAAAATGAATCAAAATAGAAAAGAAAAAGAAACGAAAAAGTCTTAGCTGGTCAATACAACAAGAATATTCAGTGATTTATGAATTCTGGATTGAATTTTTTTCCAACAACAACAACAACAACAACAAAATTCTATAGCAAAAAAAAAAATAAAAATATTCTCAATATAGAGATAGAGATTCTGCGCTTCCAAGATTCTGTTTCTCTTTCTCTCTCTCTTTTCCAATTGCCTACTGACCTAGTCTAGTTTTTTTGTTCTGCCTGGATTCTTTACTTGGCATGGCACATTTTTTTTTTTTATTCTTGATTCTTTGGTTCTACTGGATAATATTCCAGTTGTATATAATATTTTTTTTTTATTTTCACCGCCTTTAGGCTCTTTTTTGGAATGATGATAATTGGATTCTGTGTGTAAGTGTGTGTGTTTGGTTGGTTGGTGTTTGGTCTTGAAATTGAAACATTACATTATCGAAAAAAAAAAAGAAACAACTGATGATGTTTCCCCCCGGCCGCCACCACCACCACCATCCTTGCTAAAATACGCTAAGAATATTCTCTCTCTCTCTCTCTCTCTCTCTCTCTCTCTCTCTCTCTCTCTGTCTTTTGCTTCATACAGGATCCAAATTTAATAGATCCAAATTTGGATTCATCATTTCAGATTCAGTACAATCTTTCTTTCTTTTTTTTCTGCGTTGTTTCCAAATTTTTTTCTTCCAATTTTCATCATCATCGTCGGGTATATTTTGTGATATAGTTGAGCATTCTCAATTTAATTTTGCTGTTCTTTTTCAGTTCAGTCAGTTCCAGTGGTTGTCCATTTTTTTCAATAGACCAAAACAAACACCACACACACACACACACACACCTGATACACAGAATATAATACCAAGATTCTGTGTTTGTTTGATGTTTTCAATCTTTTTTTTCACTGTTGTTGTTTAACTAACCCTGAAATCCACCTACACACACACACCTTTTTTTTGGTGGAAAACAAATCTATGGAATCGAAACAAACAAAACAAAAAAAAAGTGTGCAATCATCAAACATAAATCTTTCATTTTGATTATGTAATAATGAAAATTCTTGGGAAAATTTTCTCGTTTTTTTTTTGTTTCATACAAACCACCACCGCTGCAAATTCTAAATTTTCATTTTTTTTTCTGTTTGATATTTTTGTTTTCTATCTTTCAAATGATACAGGAAGCTGTCGATTGGTTTGATTGATTGATAAACATGTCATCATGTCTTGAAACAATAAATGGATACAATTCAAACGATGAAATTATCGAGAATCATTGGAGGAATACCACCACCACCACCACCACCTCCTACGCAATTATTATCGAATAATAATGTTGTTGACAACAGCAACAACAACAACGACGCTGCCAATAATGATTTATTGTTGTCAGCATCAACGACAACAACGGCGACAAAAACATCCAATAGAAATTTAAATAATTCTTCTTCTACTTCTTCATTACTTGATCTTTCATCATCAAACGTTACATCGTTAACAACATTATCGATGACCACAACGGCAACAACGATAATGTCATCGTTAGCGAATAAAATTATTGCCAATCATCATCATCATCAAAATAATCACCACCATCATCATAACCATCATCATCATCAACAGAATTATTCTCATATTGATTTCAATAATCCATCATTCCTGACGAATAATCATCATCATGGTCATGGTCAGAATCATGACAATGTTGTTCATTCAAATCTAACAAACACTAATACTGTTATTCAACAAACTAATAAATTATCATCGTCGACGACAACATTGAAATCGCCAATCAACCATAATAATATTCACTTTAATAATGATAATAATACGGGCACTATCAATACTACGATCTCATCATCATCAACGAATGGATCTCAGAACCAAGAATCGTTAAATAATACAAAAAGATTGCCATCATCAACAACAACAACAACAAATTATGAAACAAATACACAACATTTTGTACATGAATTATTGAAACCATTTTTTCAAAATCATTCATTTCAACAACAAATTCAACAACAAATTATTGATAATAATAATAAATCTTCATTACCATCAACGACAACAACAACAATGATCTCAGATGATATAAATCCTGGAACAAATGTTGCTAACAATTTACTGTATATGGATCATCGTAAATTGAATCCAAATTTTACTGATTCATTGAATCGTAAGTTAATCCTTAGTTAGTTAGTTTGGATTTTTTTATTATTATTCATTTTTAATTTATCTAGAATTTTCTCAATCAAATGATTATGTTCATCACCATCATCATCATTCAGTGTTAAATAATAATAATAATCATACAGGACAGCTACCGAATAATTCCAATATTTATCTGAATGGATATCAACAACAACAACAACAACAACAATCATCATTATCATCGTCATCAACAACAACAACAACAACAACAGATCAGATTCAAAATGATCATGGTTGCATATCGCCAACAGAAATGTTAACAAATTATTCAAGATTTAATCATAATAATAATGATGATGGTGATAATAATAAACAAACAGAATTATCAATTGATCAAACAAAACCACCAACAAAAGCACAACGTGGACGAAAAAAATCTAAAAAAGGTCCATTCATTTGTTTGGAATGTCGTAAAGAATTTTGTAATCAAAGTACATTAACCAAACATATGATAACACATAGTGATGAAAGAAAATTTATTTGTCAACAATGTAGTAAAGCATTTAAACGACATGATCATTTGAATGGTCATATGTTAACACATCGTGAACAAAAACCATATGCATGTGATTTGGATGGATGTGACAAATCATATTGTGATGCCCGATCATTACGACGACATAAAGAAAAACATAAAGAAAATAATAATGTTTCGGAACAATTTTCCAATCAACAAATTATTGATTCAAATTCAAATTTAACAAATAAATCCAATAATAATAACGAAGATCTCTATCATCATAATCAAAATCATTTACCGATAAAAGCATCAACACATTTACAATTTTTAGCATTACAGCAAAGAAAAAATCATCTTGATCATTCAACAACTGATGATAATAATGATAATGATAATGGTCATATACAAATATCATCATCATCATCCGCTCATCGAATTAGAGTGACGGACGAATCATCACCACCATCGTTGATTGAAAACAATAATAATAATAATAATTTACATTTACAGCATCAGCCACCGACACATCTAAATCTTTCGATGAATGAAAATGCATTATTGCATCAATTGTTGACGAATAAATCATTGTTGAATGATTCTTCATTAACCATTGTCAATAATAATAATAATACTGATGATAATCATCGTCAATCAATTATACAGAATAATAATAATATACCGGTTATCAAGATTAATGATAATTATAGTAATGATCATCATCAACATCATCATCATCAACAACAATCAACAGCGACGACCACAACGACCATGACAACATCATCAACGATATCCACAACAACAACAACGATGATGGTAGATCGAAAAATTCTCGAAGAATCGAACAATAAAACAATCGATACATCGATCGAATGTTCATTTTGTTTGAAAAAATTCGAATCAATTGATATATTGAATGTACATTTGTTGAAATTACATCAACAACAAAATCATCATCATCCTCATCAAGATCTTCATCATGATCTCAGAATATCGAATCCATTTTTATTTCAACAACAACAACAACTAAATCATCATCATCATCATCAGCCACAATATGAAATGAATTTGAAAAATTATGAACTCGAAATTGCTAAAAATTTTGCCAATATTTACAATAATCATCATAATGATCATCATCAACAACAACAACAACAACAAATTCTGAATTATCCACCTCAACAACAACAACAATCGACAAGCAATGATATTTTGGAATTTCGAAACATTTTTCATCATCATTCATCACAACAGCAATCAAATTCACAATTCCTGATGACAACATCCGGTGATGATTTAAATTATTCAATGAATATAACCACCGATAATGAATTATCACAACAACAACAACAACAATCTATTAATCAACAGCCACCAACACAACAACAACAACAACAAACTAAAGGTTTAAATGAAGTAATGTTTTCACCGATTACACCGGTTACACCATTGAAAAATGGTTCACAATTTACATTTGAATTTCCCAACAACAACAACAATCAACAATCGTTACAATCTGATAAAGATTCGATTGTTGCTTCGGTTGCTCAAACAACGGATCATCATCAAACAGCTAAAACAACAACTACAATCATTACCGATTATGTTCAAACATTGGATGAAACAGATTTCGAATGTTTTGATACTGAAAAGAATGATAATAACAATGATGATGTTGATTTATTAAGACAACAAAACAAATCTGCAACAGATATTGTGGAAAATTTTGTCGATCATCATCAAAATGAACAGGAATTTTTTACGACAACAACAACAACAGTAAAACATGATGATGGCAATGATGATAGTGTGAAAATACAATCATCATCAACAACGCCATTCAATAGTTTTGATTTACCATCAAATAAATTGACCAGTGATCTATTCAATCGTCGAATACAACGTAATATTAATAATGATGAAAATAATAATAATATAAATCGAACGAAAGAATTGCTTAGTATTAAACAAATTGCAGCCAGTTTAGAATCATTTAGTCAAAATTATGAACGAAATCAACAACAACAACAACAACAAATGATTCATTCATATTCGGTTCCAACAACACCATGTCAAATTATACAGAATAATCATCATCATCAACAACATATAATACCCGGTGCTCATCATAATCATAATCTTAATAATAATAATCATAATCATAATGATGATGATAATGAATCATATCAACAATCATTTTATCATCATCATCATCATCATCATCATCATCATCATAATCATCATCAACAAATGTCACATCATCATTCACTGCCCACAACACCTATTGATCACGGTGCTCATCATCATCAACAACAACAACATTTTACCTTTAATACAGATTCTATTTATCAACAACAACAACAACAACAACAGATAGCATCAATGTCAAATGATGCAGTAATGAATGACAATGCGACAACAACAACACCAACAACTAATCATCAATTTAATTTCATTTTTCCGGATGAAACATCAGCAACACCAGCAACAACAACAACAACAACAACAACGATACAATTGAATGAAGATCCAAATGTTAACAACAATGAATTAATAGATTCTACAAGAAATTTTGATATTGATAATTGTCTTGATGATGATGATTTTTCTTTATTTAACCAAACAAATCCTGCAGTCAATAAAGAAAACAATATTGAACAACAAATTTTCCGTTTGGATCCAAATCAATCCAATCATACATCGAATATTCAATTTAATGATAATTCTCAATCAATCAATAATCAAGGTGTTACACAACCATCAAATGAAGAAGAAAATCTTCAAGAAAATGATTATTTTCCTCATTCATCATTATCAACAACGTTCGGATATGATAATGGTTGTAGTTCAAAATCGAATAACAATATTGTTCAATTTATAACATCGACATCGACAACCGAAACGATTAAAGAATCAATGATGATGGTCGATGATGATAAAAAAATCGAAAATCATCATTCAAATGATGATAATTATCATGAAAAAATTGATGATACAATAATGCGTGATATAAATGATAATTATGTTATTGCAAAAAGTGAAAAGAAAACCGAACAAATTGATCAGGATTTAACAATTTCGAAACAATCCTGGAATGATAATAATAATCTATATCCTCGAATTAAATCACCCAATAATTTTATTCGATCATTGAATAAAAAACTTTCAGCTATAAGTAATGAATATAACGATTCATTGGCCGCAATTCCAATACCACCACTACCGCCACCACCAACAACAACAACGATAAAGAAAAAACGTCCACGACCTGAACCGTTATATATTCCACCACATGTTAATACAACATTTGTTTATCATTCTAGACTTCGATCTCCACGTCTTTGGAATACTGGTGGTTTAGGTGTTGGTGGTGGTTCGATTATAAAACCATCGTTTCCTCATCATAATGATTATAATCATCCAATTTCTCCACCACCATATACACCTCCACCAATGTTATCACCGGTTCGATCTGGTTCCGGTTTATTCTGGAAAATTAACAATAATGTCAACAACAACAAATTAGCTCCTTATTCGAATACAAGTCAATTTTTTAACAATAATAATCAAAATAATAAAAAAATGATCATTATTGATACGTTGAAAGAAAATCAGAATATGATCAATGAAACAACAATAGTAGCAACAATGAATGATTTAAAAACACCGACAACTGCATATGAAGAATTAGTTGAATTGGATGATATACCGACTACCGATATACAACCACATGTTAATATTGGTCCACAATTTCAAGCTCGTATACCGACATTCAATCCAAATCGAATAAAAATGATTAATAATAAATCCGATCGTGCTGTATTGATTTGGAATCCAACCATATTGGATGATAAACAAATCGATAATGAATCATTGGATCTTTATTTTAAAATATCCTGTTCAATGTGTGTAAATGGTCATGGTAATAATAAAGAATATGCATTACATTTATTATATGATTGTGGTGGTGATTTAATCAAAGCAATGTCTAAATTGATACAAATTAAACCAACTTTATCATATGAACATCCATTACATGATTATTATTATGCAAGTATGTATTATTCATTTAACTTCATTATCATTTATTATCATTTTTTTTCCTTTCCTAGATCACGATGTATGGAATGAAAATGAAATCATTTTGTTTCAGAAAAGTATTCTCAAATTTGATAAAGATTTTTTTCTTATCGCTGATGAGGTTTGTTTGTGTTTGATTATAATTTGTTTGCGAAAAATAAATAATTTTTTCTTTTCTTTCTTAATATATTTAGATCAAAACCAAATCAGTTAAAGAATGTGTACAATTTTATTATTTATGGAAAAAAAATTCAATCGATCATTTTAAACGTTTACGTATATTAAGACGAAAACGTGAATCAATGTTTTATGATTTGGATAGTAATAAATCACAAACCAAACAAATCAATGATGATGTTGATGATAATTCGAATGATGAAACAATGACAAACAATAGTAAATCAACATCATCATCATCATCGAAAATGTATCATTGTAAAGTATGTGGTAAAAAATTTCGTAATCTAAAATCACGATCAGCTCATATGCGAGTACATATTTAATTTGATTTTGATTAATCAATCAATCAATCAATTAATTCTAATCCAATCCGATGATCTCGAAAAGAATGTGTTTATGTTTATTTTTTTTTTGAAATTAGTGCCTTTCCAAATAATTATTTTCTTTCTTACACACACACACACACACAAAGAACATTTCCTTCTTACCTGTTGATTATACTCATTATTGTTGTTGCTGTTATTTTATCCCAAATGTTTTTCTTTCTCTGGTGCCAATTATTTTACCTAAAAAAACAAAAACAAAAAAATTTTAAACTAACCAAAAACCAATTAAGCTTTCCCTAAATTTTATCATTCTCAAAAACAGCACACACTAACTAACACTAACTAACACACTCATCACATTAACACTTATCAAATGTGTCCTCAAAAAAATTCAAAAAAATTTAGAATTGATAATTTTTTAAAATTTTGTTCCAACCAAAAAAAAGAAAAGAATTGTATTTTTTTCCATTGTTATTGTATTGCCCTTTTTTTTCCATGTTAAATATTGTTCAAACCACAAAAACAAAAGCCTTTACTCTCTTAATTCTTTCAATCTCAAAACGAAAACTGTTGAAAAAAAATATATATTGTGTATTTTGATTGATGATTATATTTTAAAAAAAATGAAGATACTAAAAAAAAAGAATTTAAGTTTTCTATAATTGAAATGCACTATTATTTTATTATTTCATTATTCTTTTTCTTCTTTTTTGGTAAACAATGGAAATCAATGATGATTAAAAAAAGAAAAAAAAAAGATTTTTGTTGTTGTTGTTCACAATGATTAAATTGTATAAATCGTGGTTGTTTTGTTTTTTGTTGTCGTTGATAATGTGTGTGTGTGTCGTTGGTGGTCATCACCGTCATCAATGACAAACTGAAAAAACGGAAATAACAACATCCGTTTACAACAAAAAAAAATTGGTGGAACGAGGTGAACATTGAATGAACTGGATTGATCATTTATATTGGCTGTTGTTGTTGTTTGTCTATCGTTTTATAACCTGAATCGTATAGTTTTTTTTTTTGTTTTTACTAAAATATGTTTACCTATCGTAGTGGACAATATTCTCTACAACATAATAATAATGATGTTGATAAATCGATGGAAAAAAATCCAAAAATCGAATCATCATCAATAATTCTAACAGAAAATCATAATAATCATAATCATAATCATAATAAAAATGAATATCATCAACGTGAAATTATTAAAGAATCAATTGTAAATTATTTAACTATTGGTTGTGATGAAATGGATGATGAAATTGAAAAAAATTGGGAAAAATGTCGTCTAGTTTTAGTTCGTACAGAAAACGATATAATGTTGGAATTTTTTCCACCAGATAATAAATCAATTCAACCTAAATCCGGTCTTTTATGTAATATGTTGGATGAAATTCGTCAAACTAAACCATTGGAAATGCCCGAACGACCATATACAGCACTTCTTCGTGTAAGTTCGAAGTATTCACAATATTCTCGTTTAACTTGAAAACTTTTTTCTCGATTTAGTTTGCCAATTTTATCGATTATATTATTGAATTCAAAAATGGTTATGAATTGATTGATTGGATAAGAAAAATACGTTCAAATCTTCCTAAACAACAACAAAATGTTGATAATGATGATGAAGATGATTTATATGAATCAAATGATGATTTATATGATCTATTGAAAACATATCCATGGTTTCATTGTAATGTGAATCGTTCTGAATCATCCGAAATTGTTATGAATGGTGGTAAAGAATGGTCAGGTGTTTTTCTAATACGAAAAAGTCAAACACATTTTGGTGAATGTGTTCTTACATTCAATTATTTAGGTAAACAGGCTAAACATTTTCGTATAATAATCAAAGGACCAAAAAGTGAATGTCAAATTGAACGTTTATGTTTTCGTTCAATTATTGATTTAATAGAATATTTTCGTAAAAATCCAATACCATTACGACATCAAACTGATCAAGAACCGGCAATTGTTTTAACTTCATTCGTCATATTTGAAGATAATAAGTAATTTCAGTAGAATATTTCTCCAAAAAATCAAATTTTTTGAAATTTTCTTTTTTTTTCTTCCCAATTTTCGGTTTCAATAGATTCGATAAATATAACCAAGATAATCGTCAAAGTAGTTTCTTTAATCGACGTTCATTTATTCATCTTATGGATAATGCTAGATGGTTAACATCATCATCATCATCATCATTATCATCATCAACAAAACAATCGATCAATGTAGATAAAAATCCCCAGATATCCAATGAATCCGTAAGATTGACACGTGATCAATTAATTTTGATTTGATTTGACTTGAATGTTTTTTGAAAATAATCAATAATAATAATAAAGGTATGGAATGGGATATTTATAAATGAGATTTATGTACATTATGATGATCATTAGCGGTGGCAAATGTTGAATGTGAATCATCACTACTATTCATATCGTATCCATTATCATCGGTATCATCATCATCTTTAGGAATATCGATCGAATGAAAACGGCCACCTTCACCACGTACACGATTCATTGCATGACGATGTCTTGATTCATGAAGATATTTTCGTCTTGTTTTCGATATTTTACCCTGTTGTTCAAGTTTAGCACGTGCTATTCTTCGTTTTATAATTCGATGATATTGTTTTGCATTAACATATAATGGTTCTTCTTCGGTATTCGTATCGTTTGTTGTTGTTGTTGCCGTTGTTGTTTGTGATGTAGGAAAACGTGATAACATTTGTAGACCATTACCATTGGCATTCGGTACTAATACTAGATAATTGTTGGCAGAATTTTGTGACAATTGTGTGCCACTATTATTCATAATCGTCGTTCCTGATGATTGAATCTGTAATAATCCTTGTGATGTTTGAAGTAATTGTGAATTATCTGCATTGGCAGCTATTGCTGTTGGACATATTATTGTTTGACCATCGGTTGTTTGCAAAATTGAACCGGATGCAGTTTGTGGTGGTTGTTGTAGAATAATCGGTTGACCATTTGGCATAATAATCTGTGAAAATTGTTGTTGTTGTTGTTGATTATGTGAATTATTAGTACTATTTGTTTGTAATGCTTGAACCATTAATGGCTGTCCGGCTATTGTTATCGATTGTCCATTATTTATTGTATTCGAATTCGAAGATGATGCTTGTAACAAATGATTTGTAGCATTTTGATGATTAGTAGCTGCAATTGTAATCTGTTGTTCGGTTATTGTTTGTGAACCAAACACTTTATTATGATGAATATTATTCATTATATTAAATTATTATTTTTTTAAAAAATGGAAAATTGATCAAATCCAAAAATGGCGCGTTAAAATTTTCATTTGTTTAAAAAAGAAAATTATTCGTTACTGACAATTTGAATGATGATGGGTGTTTACTAAAACACAACAACAACAATGTTCGAATCAATTTTGATCCAATCGAAGAGCAGCAACCGAATGAATGAAGCAAAATGATTGGCTGGATTTTTTTTTTGGTCGCCCATTCACAAACAACGATTTCCGTTGATTCTGACATCTATCGAATAAATTTGGAAAAAAATTTTCAATTTTTTGAAATCCATTGCATCACCATTCAAAAAAAAAATTTTTTTTTTTGTTGACAATAAAATTATGAAATTATGATGACAATTTACATTGACAAAAATGATATTTGGCAAAATTGGCCAAAAATTGATTGATCAATTGCATCATTAAAATGTGGATGCTAAAATATTTTTTTCAACAAACACACTAAAAAAGAGTTTTGTTTGTCTGCCAGGTGTTTTGAACGGTTTATGGATGGCGGGATAACCGTGGAACACGTCTGTTTGTTTGTATGTTTGGTATTTTTTTTTTTGGATTCGGTTTTTTTTCGTATCAACCGACGACGCATGTCAAAATGATTTTCTCTGATTATTATTATTCGCGATATATTCTTTTTTTGTTCGAGTCATCATTTATCATCATCAATATTGTTGTTGTTTGTTTTATTTGGATAAATTTCGGTCCACATTACATATGATTTATGTGATACATTACACGCACAAATGTATTAGATATTATCCTTAACACGAAGAAATTCAAAAATATCTAATCAAAAAAAGAAAAAGAAAAAAAGAAATTTCTTTATGATTTCATCATTCGAACAGAAAAGAGAACAAGGAAAATACTAACCACATGAAAAAAAAAAATTTTCGCCAATTTAATTTGTGTGTGTTTGGATCGATAAAAAACACAAACAAACAAACATTTTTCGAACATTTTTTACCAGTTAATTTTTTTTTCATTATTCAATTTGGTGGTTGTGTTTGTTATTGATTGATTAGTTGATTGATTGATTGATTGTGATTGTGATTTTTGAAATATAAACACAAAACACGCACACAAGTGAGAGAGAGAGAGAGGTGACGAAAAAAGAAAAAAATTTTGTTAAACGAAAAAATTGTTTGTTTTTTGCACATTTTGTCATTGGAATACGTACTTGAAAATAAATAATTTTGGATAAACAAAAAAATGGTAAGAGGTGAAAATCAACTGTGATGAATTTCTAATATTTTTTTTTTTTAAACAAAACGATAATTCAAAAATTTTCCCGAAAAGAAATTCGAAGAAGCAGCCGAAGCGGTTAAAAATCTTAAACAACGTCCAACCGATAATGAATTATTGGAATTATATGGTTATTATAAACAGGCAACCATTGGTGATTGTAATACAGAAAGACCAGGATTATTTGATCCAAAAGGTCGATATAAATGGGATGAATGGAATAAATTGAAAGGTTTGTTTATCGTTTGTTTGATTTTTTTTTATAACCGTTTTCATCCACAAAAAAAAAATGTCAGGAATGTCAAAAGAACAAGCATCCGCAAAATATATCGAAATTGTGGAAAAATTAATGGCAAAATATCGATGATCATTGATTCGAACAAATGATTCGAATACCGGGGGCGGAATTCGAATGTCAAAGAAAACTTTCCAGGAAAAAATTTAGAAAAAAACTTTTTTTGAAAAATGTAAAAAAAAAATTTTTTTTTTGTTCGAAAGAAAAGTAAATTAAATTTGATTTGGTTTTTTTAAACATCAAACAATCTTATTTATCCAATTTTAAATAAATTGGTGGTGGTAAATAATCACCATCAACAATCATTGATTCATCATTTTGATTATAATAAGTAAAATTATCTGTTGTAGAAATTATTGATGATGGTTCAATTGAAACATTACGGCTATTTGTCATTATCAATATTGATGATGGTGTTGGTGTTTGTCGTCGTTGTTGTTGTTGTTGTTGATTTTGGCCACCAAATGGATCAATACTGCCAAAATCATTATTATTAAAACAACCACCACCACCACTATATAATGAACGTATTTGACTTTGGCTACGACTACGACCACGATGATATGAATGTATACTTTGTATTTCTTGTCTTGCAGCATCACCACGTTTTACTAAACGACTAAATTGATAAACAATCATAACCAATATTATTTCAATTATTAATGTTATTATAATTAATATGGATATTGTTGATAAAAGATATTGATCCATTTTTTCATTACCAGTATACATTGCTAATGATGCTGAATTTGGTTTGGTTTGGTTTTAAAGAAAAAAAAATCAATCAGAATTCAAGTGTAATCAAAAATCACATTTACCTATAATGAATATTAATTTAATAAGAAAAATAATCAACAAAATATAACTATATGTTGATAATAATGATGAACGTTGTTTTGTAATTGAAATAATACCAAATATACTATGACCAAATGTTAATAATGAAAACATAATCTGTACATTTGGTGATGATATACTTGGAAAATGATGATGATGATCAATATCATCATCATCATCATAATCATCATTGTCATTGTTATTGACATTGTTTCCTCCTGGATCATCATTGAGGATTTTTTTGGTTGTTAATGATGATGATGGCCAATGTTGTTGTTGATGATAATAATGTTTACGTTGTTGATGGCCAATTAAATCAATAACATTTATAATGGATATTATCATCATAAATAAACCGAATAAAAATATTAATGAGATCAATATTTGTAATGAAAGTTTTGTTAGTCTTGGTGATGCATATGTGGTCATTATGTTTGTTTTGTTTTGTTATTTTTGTCAATTTTAGAGAAAACAAAATCCAATTTCATTCAACAACAACCTAGAATAACACGATTATCATCATCAAATATATTCAGCAAATATTCTTTGAGTAGGAGGAGGAACATATTATTTTCATGTTTTTTCTTTCTGGTTGTAAATGATGTTTTCAGTGTATTTAGTGTTTGTAAATGAGATCATCATTGATAATTTTGAAACAAAGCCAAGAAAGAAAAAAAGTTTCACACTCCATTTACAATCAGGCAATTCGGATGTTTTTTTTATTCAAAGCAAAAAAAAAATTAGCACAAACAAACAAACATAGTTGGAAAATATAGTCAAACAGAAAAATTTGGCGGGAAATTTGAAATTTTTTTTGAAATTTTTCAAAAATGAATGACATTGATTAACAAACGAAAAAACAAAAAACAGGAAACGAATTTATGATGCGGGGAAATTTTTTTGTTTTTCCTACCAATATTTAGGTCAATAGGATTTTTATTATCCAGAAATCCATAATGGATCAATAAATTTGGTTGAAAAAAAAAATGTTTAAATCTTTTCAGATTTAGTTTCAGTTTTTGGTTTGGTGTTTGGTAGTGTAAGGGTATAATCAACCAGAAAAAAAAAGATGAATTCAAATTTCATTATTTTAGTTTTTTTCATCATTCAAACAACAAAATCAACGAATCCAAATGATAATGGTGAACAACAACAACAGCAACAGCAGAATCGTACAACATTCATAATCAAAAATGAAACCACATTCGATCGATTCAGTCTTGCATACGGTAAATTTGCGGAAAAAATTTGAATTTGAACAAAATTAACCCTTTTGAAAACTACACAGGGCTATTATTGGATACAAATTGTGAAACTGATGATGATTGTATTATAAAAAATTCTATATGTAATACAAATACAAAACGTTGTGATTGTGATTATAATGCTATTCATAGTGATAATCGTTGTAAGTATTGATTTGATTTTGATTTGATTTTAATCAATATTCAATGATTATCTTATCTTATTTTTTCTTCAAAACAAAAAACAGGTCGTACATTACAATGTCATAAAACACAAGATTGTTCCGAACATTTTGGCAATACAATTTGTGTATTTGGTACTTGTCGTTGTCGTTGGGGTTTAAAAGCAAATGGAAAATGTGTTGATATTGATGGTTAGTAATCAAATTTCCAAACAAAATTTTTTCAATTTTCTTTTGATTTTTTTTCTTTTTCGATTTTTTTTGTCAAGTTCCGGTAATTGGTTCACAATCATTACCGGATTGGGCAATATCATTGATAGCAATTGTAGCATTATTATCCGGAATTTGGGGTGGACGTAGTCCATTTGTATCACAATTATCCAGACAATTATTATCGATACTAGTATTGGTTATTGGAAGATTTGCAACAAATCAACAACAACAACAACAACAAAATCCGCAACAACCATCATCATCATTATTGATTGATGAATTACAATCGGCAATGATACAAATGAATAATCAACGAAATTCGTCGATCAACAATGATGAAAATGATCAACAACAACAACAACAACGAAAACCAAAATTATCATCAGCAAACATATTGGATGAATTAGTATCATTAGCAAAACAATCAAATCAATTTCAAGAACAACAACAACAACAACAACAACTACAACAAACCGAACAATAATAATTACCAAATTTGAACACAGGTTGAAATTCTGGTGAAATGAAATGATGACACATTTTGGAATTTTATTGCATTAATTGTAATTGGTTTTTTGCAGGTTTTTTTGCTGTTGTTTTTTTTCCGTTTCGTTGTTATCCTTATTGCATTATTGCATTTTCGCATTGAATAATAATAAAAATGAAATAAAATGTTCTCTTCCTTCCCTCTTTCGTTACCCGAAAAAAATGTCCAACAATAATTACATTATGCTAATTATAAACACGATTATATAATGGTCACCACTACCGTCAGTCAACACTAATATTCCATTAATCTCTTTTTGATCTACGCTAATGTAGATTATCATTAAAGGCTTTTTTTCGGTTTTCGGTCTGTGTAAAGAAGTGCAAGTTGCAAATTCTATTGCAATTCGGTGATAATGACAATTGTATGTGTATCGAATAATAAAATATTTTCAATATAAAAATGTAAATAAAACAAAGAAAAAAGGTTTGATGAACTCTTTTGATCAAATGAAAAATTTTTATTTTTATTTAATTTTTTTCTTAGTTTTTAAATAGATTTTTAAATAGAAAAAATTATCACAATTTGTTATTCAATTTCAATCATATAATTGGCTGATGAATTTTTTGATGATGATGATGATAATGTTTGAATCGGTGTAATCGAATTACGATGATGATGATGATGATGATGATTTTTCTTTGTATTTGGTAGTTTTTTTGAATTAAAAATCAATAAAATTAATAATAAAAAACCGATTAAAAAATCAATAAAATCAAATAAAGATGCATATAGTAGATCTTGATCATCCGAATCGGAATAATTATTCGAACCATTTAATGGTGAATATTGACGAAAATAAAACCATGCTAATAGATTATAGAAAATAATCAAACCTAACAGTAAAACATGACATGTTAGATAGGTTAATTTCGCTGGATTTGTTGATTGTTTTGTTGCACCCATTATACCAAGTATAGCAACAGCTAAATAAAATAAAAGATAAAATATAAGATTTAATGATGAATCGGATGATGATTGTTCCAGATCAAATACGGATGAAATTGTTGTTGTTGTTGTTGTTGTTGAATTATCATCATTCAAATATATTGGTTCAACAAAGAAATTTGTTAATCTTGATTGATCTTTCATTGTTTCTTGAAAATTAAAATAAGTTAATAAAAGTAAAAATAATGCACTTAAACAAAGACAAATTGATACGGTATTTAAAATTAAACATAATATAAATAGTATGGTTATCAGAATATTCGATGTGATTAACATTTTTCTTTGGTCAGTATTGATCACTGATTGATTGATTTTTCATTATCGATAAATCGAGAATTTTTTAAATTTCAATAATCAAAACAAGCAACCAATCAACCATCAACATAGGCAATCAATTTAACGAATGATTCGAAACACAAAAAACAAGCAAAATTCAATGAAAACTGAAAACATTTCATTCCTTGCCAGCAAATGGAAGAAAATTATGTAATGGTGGTGGTAGTTTTGGTAAATGTTCTCTGGCTGACTGACAGGCTGCGTGTAACCAATGGTTACTCTCTCCAAAGGTTCAATGAAAGTTCAAGTTCCGTTTCTAGACAGAAACATAATTTTGCATTTACATAATTTCCATATCGATAGAAAATGATTCATATCCGAATCAGAAATAATAAAAAAAAACATGAACATGATTCTCGATCATTACGATAATTATATGTCATTGATTTTTCATATGAGGAAAATATTGTCCATATGTCATCACTGTCCAAAAAAAAATCACATTGATATGTGATTGTTACATATGTTTTTTTTTGAAAAATTCGGGTAATTCTGCTTTTTTTTCTGGGGCAATTTCCGAATCGTGTAATGCTGTGGTCCCTTGATGATCCAAAAAAAAAAAATATTTTAAAAAACCAATCGATCATCGTAGAGATAAAGGAAAAAGCCAAAAAAAAATTGATCGACTTTACAGAATCAATTTTACCATGATTTCACATTTTGATAGCAACAACTTTGGTATAAACCGCATCAAAATGGGAAAAAATGAAATCCTCATATAGGCCATACGAGAAAAAAAAAATCATTTCCCGAATTGAATCGATAAACCATCAAAATGTTTAGGTCATATGCAGGGTTGATGTTTTCTTTTTTCGTTCTTCAATTTTCTTAAAGATGTGAAATATTGAGGACATCTTTTTGCAGTTTTGCTATGATGATGATGATGATATAGCACATATCGGATGAAACAAATTTTTTTTTTTGACATCACATACAAACAAACCAGTAAACTAGTCACTTTCTATATAGAGGAATTTTTTTTACAAGTCAAAAAAAAATGAGCAAAAATAGCATCCGAATTGGAATTGTTTTGGTCATCAGAATTTGCTAGTGATGTTTCAACACTCATCACAATACCACCACAACAATTATCATCGTCATCAATAGTTATTATTTAATTACATTAACCCCGAACCAAACGAAAAACCAACAAACTGCTGTCAATCATTTTGTTGAAAGCTAATTTTCCACATTGATCACAATTTGAGGGTGCCTTTTATTTGGTTATTGTTTGATTTGTTTTTGATTAACGAATGTCACCAGTAAATAATCGTAATAATGATGATGATGATGATCAAGTATTATCGAATGATCATGAAGATAATGACAATGATGATGATGATAATGATGATAATGATAATGATGATGGACAAATATCATTGGAATGGTTGGAGAAAAAATTTGGCCGTATGCTTGAAATATTTTTAATCATTCAATTCAGTTTGGGTATTTGTTTATTTTTTACTGGAATATTTTTTCTAGTTTGGGCAGTAGCATCAACGGCAACTTTACAAGCCGGATCATATATGTTATTAGCATTTTTTATTATCGGTAGAGCATTATTAGGTATAATCGGTTATTATACAGAAAATTTTTGCCTACTTTTTTCATACGGTGTTATATTATTGGCTACATTTGTTTTTCGAACAATAATTATGATGATTAGATTAAAAATAATGGTATCACCGGATCATCAATTACCGATACCACCATTATTACAAGCTGCACCGGGTGCAATGTCAACATATATTGAGCTAATATTGGCCATATTTGAATGTTTACAAGTGTTTGTAACATTTTATCTATGTTGGTTATGGACAAAAAAACGTTCCATATCACGTGAAGAAGATGAAACAAAATTAACATTAAATATTGCTAATGAAGTAGCACGTTACTTACATCGTAAAGAATTATCCATGATACAAAATCGTAAAAAAAGTTCAATTTTCATTGATAATACAGATTCGAATGAAAAAACATCCAATGATAATAATGTTGTAGAAAAACGTAGAAAAAGTTCAGCAATTGATATGCGAAAACAATCAATAATGATTGATCAACAACAACAACAACAAAATACCAATGTAAATACCAATGTTATCAATAATCCATCATCATCGTTGTTACCGCAATCATCAATACCGTTGAAAAGTATTCTTCATCAACCAAATATTACGACATCGATAAATCGACAACAACAACAACATCAGGAATCAACATCGACAACACAAACTCATCAACAACCATTCAATGCTATTCATGAATATCATCATCAATGTCCAATTAATCGACAATATTCATTGACAGTTCCACCACCAAACTATCAACAACAACAACAACCGATTGGTGGTTATCATCATAATCTTCAAGCTGATAATCATCCACTTTATGGTAGTACATTACGTTCAACAGCAATCGAACATGAATATTATGAACCAACACCAATTTTATTCGATGTTGCTGCTGATGAATATGTCGATGATGATGATGATGATGATAAAGAATTAAGAGAATTGGAAGATTTCAACAACAACAATAATAATAATAATTATGGTCGAATCGGTGATTGTTCTCGAATTCCATCACAAATGTTTTATCGTAATTATCAAAACAATGATGATGATGATGATTATAATGATCGATTATCATTACCACCATCAAGAGTACGATCACCAGTACCACCATATGAACAATATAATCATTCACCATTATTATATGAAAGAATGGATAAAATTCATCAACATTATCGTTATCAAAATTATGGTTCAACAAACAATTATGATGATGAAATGATGGTTGATAATCATCCTCATCATCATCGATAACATAATACATTGGATTAGACAAAATCAATACAGTACAGAACATATAGCAGAATATTTCATCTTGATGAAAATAGATATGTGTAACTATATAAAAATTAAATGTAAAATTTGTAATTTTTACAAGATAAACAATAAAATGATAAACTTACAAAACCAAAAAAAAACAACTGTTTCAACGAAAATCAGGATAATGATGTTGTTGTCATAGTGAATATTAATAAAAATAATAATGATTCAAAAATAATGGTCATAACATATAGTATAGAATTGGATGACCAATTGATTAAATTTGGTGATAATGATAATATCGATGATGATGATGATGATGAATGAATGGTTAATGTTTGTTGTTGATCATAACAATTATTATTATTATTACAGATCCATGATTGCCATAAATTTGATGTATATAATCGTAATAAAATTGATAATGAAATCATAATTATTAATATAATTTTCAATATGAATATTAAACGAAATTGTTTTCGATAAATTATTAAATTATCATTATCATTATCATCATTATAATAATCTTCAATGAAAATATCATCATCAATGTTTATTCTTTTTCGGTTACTTGTATTTCTTCTTCTTGCTCTTGTTTTTGATGATAAACACTGGACAGGTGTTGTTCGTTGATGATCATTATGAATATCGATTATAAATATTATTGATAATGCAATTATAACTTCAGTAATAATTAATGAAAGTTGAAAAATTGCTAATGAATAATATGAAAATCCGGATGAATCGATTGGAAATGTTAATGTATTTGAATGATGATCATGATTGCCATTATTATTATTATTATTAAGAATTAAAAATGGAAAATCATTTGGTACGGATGAAATGAGCAACATAAATAGACCGCTAACAGCAATCAACAACAATAGTATGGCCACAATTATTATCAATATACAACGAATCATTCGATCCATCGATGATGTTGATGATGTTCTACTACAACGATTCATAAGTAAACATTGTGAATCTGGATGATTAGATTTACTACATGATGATGATGATAATGTTGATGAACGATTCATCTTGAATCAATGAATAAAATTCACTTGATGGTTAATTTATTTTAATCAATTTTGCCAATGAATATTGATTTGAATCTTTACGTTCAAAATAGAGGAATGAAACGGTATAAAACTGTTCAAAATTATAAAATTAATTAATTAATCAATCAATCAACTAATCAATCATTATTCGACAAACCTCAAATCCAGAGAAAAAAAAATGATTAATATAAATAATGAATTCCAGAATTCCGAATCATTACCATCATATTATCATCAATGATCAATGTTGTAACACCGGTCAAATTATCATCATTATTGTGATTGAAAATTTATAAATATCAAAGATCAATATAAAAATACTAATGATTATGATGAATATTTGCCGATGGCAAAATATTTGCAATTAGTTGTTGTTGTTATCGTCGTTATCGTATTGGACATTTGAAAGACTTTTATTTTTGTTTTGGTTTGGCTTGACCAGACAACTTGCTAATTAAACATTGACATATCGCTGGTTGGTAGTTTCTTACGAATGATAAATTTTTTTAGACAATTTTCTTCGATTGGAACAAACCCAAAATAAAAAGTCTTTAGTCAAGTGCAACGAACCAAAAAAAAAAAATGTTGAAAGAGAAATGGGTCAAATTTGCCCAAACAAAATACTTGAGGCAAGATTTTTTTTTCGTTTCGCTCAAGATTTGTTGTAAAAATGATGATAATGATGGTACTGGTATTTGATTTCAATTATCACAGACATCACCATTGGAACTTCGAACAACAACAGTAAATAATAATTTTCCAAACGTAAAAACAAACAAACACCATTACACAAATGTATTTGGATCTGGATCACTTCAAAAAAGTTATATTGTGATTGTCTTGACTGACTGAAAGATTGTTGGATGTTGTTGTTTGTTGAACTAAAGAGAGAGAAATTGATCGTCTTCTCTCTATATTTTACATCTTGTTATGTTCGAAAGGTACACTTTCAGTTATGAAAAAAAAATAATGGTTAGATAAGATAATTTTCACATTTCCTTATTTTGTTCCGTGTTTTTCTATGTGGACGAAAGAAAAGAAGAAAACTTTCAACGATTCAAACAATATGTAGACTTGATAAACATTATTTCTGTTTCGTTTAGTGGTTCTTCAAGATTGATTCAGATTTCGGACGGGATTTTTTTTTAAAGAAAAAGAAAAATTCAATGTTTTCGAATGACTAGACAAGATTGACGATATCTTTATGAATAATAATACCAAAAAAAAAATTTGACATTCGACAATGATAATGTCTTTTTTGTTTTCCAGTAATGGCAACACGCTTAACAACAACAACCGAAGAAAATGTTTACCGTTTGTTTTGTTTTTTGAAAAAAAATCAATAGAAAATCTTCGTAACAATAACAATTTTTTTAAAAAATTTATGATGATGATGATCATCATCATCATCATCATAGATCGATTGCACAATTGAGCAATCCATTTTGTGAATGGTTTGTTGTTGTTGTTGTTATTGTTGATTTAGGACTTTGTTCCAGGAACAGTAGTTGCCGTAAACAGAGAATTGTTGTGATCCAAAAAATGGAAGTGTCCATACCAAATATCTATATAACGGTTTCCAAAAACCAAAACAAACAATCGACACGTGATTGCGGCTTATTTGAATCAATTCAGAAATTTGATTTTTTTTTTGGCTTCAAGCCTTTTCGAATCCATGGTCATTGATAGAAAATTGATGAATTTTTCAATTACCGGTTATCAGGTGTGTGTGTGTGTGCAGGTGCATCAAACAATGTTAAAATTTACTATGGGTGCGGTAATTGAATTGATGTTGTTGACAAAAATAACAACATTTTTTCATGTTGAAAAGGATGTTGCGTGATTATTTTTGTTGTTGTTGTTGTTGTTTTTTGACAAAACAAAATAATAATAATAATAATAATGTCAACAACCGACACATTCGAACGAATCAACAAGGTCACCATCACATTAACATCGAACACATATAAATTCAACATCAAATTGATTAAGGAAAAAGCCAATTATTTGATTGATTGATTGATTGATCAAATGGCCATCAAATGTCAATTATAAACACACACACACACACACCGAGAGATTACATTAGCTTCAATGAATATGTACATTGTTGTTGTTTGGGATATGATCGACACCAACACACACCAACAAACACAGAAAGATTTGAAATAATCGAAATGAAAAATTTTTTTTTTCTCGGTTCAAAATGAATGTAGGATGTGAAAAGAAATCGAATAAAGATTTAAAAGATCCTACGCAAACAAACAGAAACATAAAATGACATAAGATTTCTTTCACCAAAAAAAAAGTATACTTTCCTTTCCAATTTTTCATGTCGAACGACAAATTGTTTTTTTTTTCCAATTTTTTTCAGGCAATAAAATTTTCTCAATAGGTATAGATGAGATGTACAGGTATTGTTGATTAGATTTTTGTTTTCATCTTAATTTTTCCCCGTTTTTTTTTTTTATTTCTTCAAAAAAAAAATCATATGACTTGTTTGAAGTTTTTGACGTTTCAAACGAACAAAAAACAAAAAAAATTGATGGAAATAAAAAAAAGGATTCGAATGGCTATTTTAACTTTCTAAAAACATTCTGATGATGTTAAAATAGATAATATTTGTGTTTGTGAGTTCCTTTTGGCGCGGTTAAAATCGATTCGAACGATTCAATTGAAAGGATTCGATTTTTCAAAAATTTCTTTTCGATCTTTATTCATTTATCTTGAACGAAAACTTTTTTATTTTTCAAACATTATTTATTGATCATTATCATCGATGAAGATACAAAAAAAATGATGAAAAAATCAACAAAAATTAAATGGTAAAGAATTTTGGTTTTGGTTTTTGGGTATGTCCATTTGTCTTTTGTCGTCTTATCATCATCATAATGATGAATGAATGAATGAATGAATAATGCGATAAAGATAGATAGATAAAGAGATTTAAAAAATCAAAAAATAACAAAAAAAAAAAAAAAAAAAAACAAAAAAAAAAAGAATAAAAAAAAAAAGTTAAAAAT